AATAAATTTTAATAAAATATTACATTGGAAATTATTTATTGTATAATAATTCAAAGGAAAGCTATCCAGAAGTGGGCAGCTTCCGTCTTGAAGGCTTGGTATCAACTCCCCAGTTAAGATGCCTGTTCTTTTATTTATTCTCAGCTTTGCTTTCTAAGAAAGTAGAAATCCAGGTAAGGTGTGCAAACCCCTGCTCATAGTCCATTTGCCTACACCAAGTCACAGGGGGGACAAGTATATCATCCATGCATTGTTCAGCCTTTGGGACTCACATTGACAAAGACAGGGAGAACTGATCAGTGCCACTGAAGCAGCTCACGTTACTACCGGGAAGTTGACAGGAACATAATTTTGGCCAAGCTTAGATACCATTTTACTTAGATAAGCCTTTCATAGCACAGCTAATGTCTTTGTATAATGGTGACCTACATAGTGAGTATAAGTATACCTGTATTAAAAACTATCGTACCATGTATATATGTATGCATATATGTGATACAATAATATATGCATGTATGTATGTATTTGTGTATGTGTGCATGCTTCTAAGTATATAAATACCACATGCTTAGTTCATATTGCATTCCTTGTAGGTTTTCAGTGATGACCACTTGGTTTCCTCCCAGCATTTCTAAATTCCCTGGAGTTCTTTGTGTAGGGTTGAGGCCTTGAGGTCTCCTCTGTCCACATTAGCATGGTGTTACCCTTACTCAGCTCATTTTCAGGCATTCGTGTTGGCGAGACTTTATGGCTACAGCTTCTGAGGTTATAGGAATCACAATCCCACAGCAAACTCCCTGTCTGTCCCTCTGGCTCTTACAATCCCTCTGTTCTTTCTTATGTAGTGGCTACTCGAGCCTTAGGTGCAAGGGTGGTTTTGCAAACGTAGCCGTTGGGAATGGACTCTACAATTCTGCATTCTGATCAGTTGTGGTTTGCTGCAATGGCTTTCTCCATGTGTTGCAAATGAAGTTTCTTTGCTGAGGGGTAAGAATAACACTTACAAGTAATACTTAGAATATAGTTGGGTATGTTGATGTTTTGGTGATGTGTTGGTTTCAGTATCCACGACTGAACTGTCCCTGGTAGTTAGCCACGATATGCATGCCGTTTATGGCCCCTTTGGGCCGCCGTGCCATGCTGGTCATCGTTGCTCCTTAGGGTTGCCATTGCCTTGCTGGTCACTGTTGTTATAGAATACTTTCTTCACCATGATCCTGAAATAAAATCAGAGTATCCAGGTAAACGTTATTTTCCCTTATCACGACAATGACGAGAAAGGCCCATGCCCACTGTCACGGACTTCCTGACTTCCTGGTGTCACTGTGACACACACACACTCTTGCATACTTGTTGTGCTTCTTACTTGCGCTTCTGTTTTTATTCATAGCCACCTTGCTGCTAAGATGGAAAATGTGGGCAGGTGGTGTCAATGTCACTGACTTTGCAGTGAACTTCCCATTGCTTCTATTGTTGCAAATGGCTGCACGGATTGTCCCTGTACAAAGGGAACTTAGACATTTGAGAAGAGAAATAACGTGTTTCTTTCTGAAGATTCTTTTTTCCCCCGTTGAAGTTTTTTTTTTGGACCGGTGTATATCTAGCTAGACAGAGAATATATTTTTAAGCAGAAAAATGTCTAAAAATAAAGTGTAGGGAGAGCAGTGACATAATCTTTAGCAAGTGAAGGTTTAGTGTAGTTTACTTTCCTGAAGGGGAAAAAATGCTTACTGAGTGCCTTTTCAGTGTAACAGGATTTGTGATAACAGCCCCATGACCAAAGTCCTAAATATTGTTTTCTGAATTTAGAGTTATATGATAATGTAAGTTTTACAGATCCTTGCGAGGATGTGCATTTATTTCATATCTAAAGGGAGAAGCTTGGAACTAAGTAGGAAATGTTTTACCCAGAGCAGATACTGCAGAGGGTGCCGAAGAGACACCATCAGAGGACAGATTAAAAACTGCTAAAAGCTAATTAGCACCAAAGGGCAATGGTAACCACTGTTGATTTACTGAAGAGATCTGAAGGCCAGTGAAAACAGCAAGGTTTATATTAAATCAGTGCACTTATTCCTAAAATGGATTTTAAAGACAATTTCATCTTGGTAGACTATTATTGAGCATCAATACTCACACATAGGAATCTTGAATTCAGGTGCCCTTCTGGCCCCTGGAAACTAGATCTAGTGACAGTTATGGCAATCTAGAACAAGCCAAGAAAAAAAAATCTTTGTGATGTACTTGAAATAACATAAAAATAAGCAAAAAAAAAATTGGCATGTTTTTTGCTAGGACATTTTGTGCCTCGCATATTTATATGAGGTTAGATAGCACTAACTGACTATTGCACTAACCAAGAAAACCCCGAGACCCACAGGTCATCTCAAGTTCTCTAGAAATTTCATTCATAAATTCAAAGCACAGGCAAAATTGATTTAATGATATACTTTATCTATTCTATACAAAACAGTGCTTCAAAATCTACTCAACGTAAGGTTTGTTGAGTTGTGTGTGTGTGTGTGTGTGTGTGTGTGTGTGTGTGTGTGCAGGGTCTTCTTTATATTTGGAGCAGATATGGTCTTGGGTAGCGACATTCATTTGCTCATGTGCCTGGTGTCTGCCATTTTGGAAAGCACAGTTACAGAACGGGAAATTTCTTTTTCTTTCTTGCATTCTCGATACTGAATGACCTCCTAGATGATCGCAAGTGTGACTGACTGACTGACTGGAAGTGAAGGATGTGTCCTCATTTGATCAGGAAGGCCTTGGTGCTGTGACTAGTTCTCTGGACAGCCTGGATAGCAGTTGTCCGGTCCAGGGCATCACTAAGGGAAGGCTGGGGGGGGGGGCGCCTCCCCATTCCGCGAGCATGCGCTGACTGCCCTGACAGTAGTGTTTCCTTGTTTGCAAAGATACAAGGCATGACCTTTGTAAATAAGTGAATTTTTTGTTTTGTTTCATTCTTTTTTGTTGAAAGGATGTAAAAACCCATTTAGTTTTCATAATGTTCTTAGTCATTGAATGCATATTCCTTACATCATAATCTTTATGGGAAGGACAGTAATTGAATATATACTTTGATAGAAAGATAGCATTTCAAATCAGAATAAAGGACATCAAGTCTGAAGTGTGTTTGAGCTACACTATTGTTTGAATATGTGGATTACATAAACTCGGGTTAGATTCTAGTAATAAAAGCTGTGAATCTGGTTTAGCACTTTGTGGCTAAATGAATTAGAGTCTAAACTTTTATCTGAATCTATGGAGCTTGGATATAAATTGAAAAGATCACAGCTATGGGGATAAGACCTATACCGCAAAGGCCTTTCTGAATAGATTATGAATACCATAACTCAATAATTTTTGAAAACTATAGTTATAATTGGACCCAACGGGGGTCTGTTTCTTTGATGAGATCACAGTCACTGTGACTTCACAGTGGAAAATGTCACTGCTGTGAAGGTTTATCACCTGTAGAGCTGGTCTTCCCTCTGATGCTGTGTTCATTTCTCATTAGCATTATTCAAAGTTTAGTTGTTAATTAGGTTCACGCTTCAATTACAATCATCACCTACAAGAGTAGTCAGGACAACTTGAACAAAGAAATAAAAATATTCTCCTTTGCACACATGTAAAAGATAAATGGTATTATTCTATTATCTGGTAGTTCATACAGCTGATATTGTTGTGTTGAGGGAGCAATCCAGTTGAAGTTCCTCTCTAAATCCGTTTTTATTCCCATAAGAAAATAGAATGCAACTTCACATTTTTCTAGGTAAAACATCAATAAGGGACATATGAAGTTTGTGTATTCAAGTGTACAGACTGTGGTTTTCTATTTTGAATGGAACTTGTTAGTGAAATGAATAACAAAAGGAGTTAGCACCCTGAGTATGAGCTCACTTAAAACTCAGTCCAATAGCCCCTCCTCTTGCATTTCTAAAGCACATACGTGAAATTAGAATAGGTGTGAAATATTCTAAGTTCAGCGGCTTTTCAAACTTTTCATGTTACCAGATAAAACATTAGTTTTTATATTGCTTCTTAAAACATTAGTATTGCCAGGTGTTGGTGGGGCACGCCTCTAATCCCAGTACTTGAGAGGCAGAGGCAGGTGGATCTCTGTGCGCTTGAGCCCAGTCTGGTTTACAGAGCGAGTTCCAGGACAGGCTCCAAAGCCACACAGAAACCCTGTCTCAAAAAAAAAAAAAAAAAAAAAAAAATCGGCATTTTGCTCTGATTACCTACTGGTGTGGCAGCATTCCAGAGCACCAGGCTAGTATGTGGTAGTGAGAAGCACTGGGCACTGAGTTTGCATAGCAACTCTGCCTCTGAGCAGCCACACAGTAAAAGCAAACTGGTTCCTATTGTTTGTTCTAACTTTGTTTTCATTCATAAATGAAAATGTGAATGTTTTCCGAGGATAATGTGGCAAAATTTAAATGAGACAATATACAACATTTATATTACATAATTTTCCATTCATGATACGGTCTCTGTAACTTTATCTCTTCTGTCTTTCCTTCTGATAATGATAAAAGGAGAAAATCACTTACGCAAATGATGCTTCCAAACAGAAAATGGAACTGTAGATGATCTTGAAGGACTCCTAACAAATACAACGCACAACAGAAATGAACGCTACGGACCCAGCTTTACCTCTAAACAAGCAGACACATGTTATAATTGCTAGAAATCTGCAGAATAGTGCCTCACAAGCAGTTTACTGTAAATAATTAAAGCTTATTTATGTCAAGAGGCCTTGGGAGAAAAAAGAGAGCATAAACCAATTTGCATTAGCACGTTACTATCCTCTCCCGCTCCCGTTTCAATTAGCGGAGCAGCAGGTGCTGGGTACAACTAAAAAGATAAGCTCTCGGGGAGGACGATGGATTCTGGCCGACCTGCAGACATTGCGCTTTGCCTGCTGATTGGGTTCGTACCTCGCTGTACCAATTTCTGAGGTGTTAATTTAACTGTTCCTCTCTGCCGTGCAGGTCTCGGCCTTGAAAAATAAGCTGAAGAAGCAGTCCACGGCTACGGGAGACGGAGTGGCTCGGGCCTTCCTGAGGGCACAGGCAGCTTTGTTCGGGTCCTACAGGGATGCTCTGAGATACAAGCCTGTAAGCATTCATTTCGTCACGGTTCTAACCGCCTTTCCTTTCCACGGCCCCTTTGAATGAGACAAGGAGAAAGAAGCATCTTAATATTGCAATGGAAGGAAGGGTCGTGGTTGCCTTTTTTTTTAAAAATAAGACAGGGTTTCTCTGTGTAGCTTTTGAGCCTGTCCTGGAACTCGCTCTGTAGACCTGGTTGGTCTTGAACTCACAGAGATCCGCCTGCCTCTGCCTCCCAAGTGCTGGGATTAAAGGCGTGCCCCACCAACACCCGCCCGGCTCGTGGTTGTCTTTATAACTCAATAAAACATGCCTGCCTCAGAGCTTATTCTTATCCAATTCATCAACTTCTGCTTTAGCTCTTTACATTATTGGTAGGTAATATTCCCCAATGATCATTGGCCTGTCGTCTATGTAGAGTTCCAGAAGTGGGATGTTTACTTTTGAGAGAGTTGATGCATTATGTTCAAGCATTTAAATCACTCACCTGTTCTTATGATCGCCAAGAATGTCACTTGAACTTAATTAATTAATAGCGTAGTTAGGGCAGGTCCAAAGTGGAAGGTCAGGACATTAGCGCTTTAAAACTTGATATTTGAATGTTTGTTGTCTTCCTGGTTCATAGCACTTTCTGGAGCATGTCTTGTTTCATATTGCCACTTATTCCAATTCCCTGAAAAGATGATTGAACTATAGTCTGTAGAACATTTGGAAGATGAGAATTTGCATGCCATCCTGGCCTGTCTTCCACAATTGATGTGCGAACCTCTTGAACATAACGAGAAATAACAAATATAGATGTTTAATATGATGTCCTCTGACTTACTGCTTCTTTCTGTAGCTCTCGTGCATTTCAAGGGTTTTTGAGTTATGGGGAGAAATTTTTAAATGGGTAAAATGTTTGTACCTCCTGTCTTTAGATAAATACGTATATCTACTTCTCTGCGATTGATTTGCCAGCTTCGCTTCACTATAACAAAATACCTGACCAAAGTTAATTATGAGAAGAAAAGTGTATGAAGGTGTACGGTGCTCCTGTTGCTTTTGGGAATCCGGCATAGCAGGACCAGATGGCAGGGATCCCCAGCTGAGGAGTAGAACTCCACACACGATGACTCAGCCATGAGGAGGAGAGGGCAGGGCGGGGATGGGATCTATGTCCCAGTTAAGGCATGTCCCAAATGAACAGAAACTTCCCTCTAGGCTTCTGTGTCTTTACAGTCTTCCAGTTTCTTCATCGGCCAAAGCCCATGCCTCTAACATATAGAAGACATTCACCTCAACCATAGCAAATACTAATCTTTCTGAAATATATGTACATTGCAAGGTATTCTAGAATTAAACATATTGTAGTGGGGACCATATAATCTGTGCTTGAGTCCTGGACTGAGGTCTTTTATGACTTCATGCAAATTGAATTCTTAGTTTTTTGTTTGTTTGGTTTCTTTTCTTTTCTTTTCTTTTCTTTTTCTTTTCTTTTCTTTTTCTTTTCTTTCTTTTTTTTTTTTTTTTTTTTTGAGAAAAGAATAGTTCTTATTCGTGGGCTGTTTGTACATGATGTTAGTTACTGTTCTTGCTGTGACAAAATAAAGAATAGAAGTAACTTATAAAAGAAATATGTGTTTTAGCACAGAAAGGCCTGATGGGAAGTAAGTGGTGTACCTCATGACAAGGATGCATCTAGCAGAGACTCCTTACAGTTTATAAACAAGGAAAGAACTGTGCTAGAAACAAAAGCAAATAAAACCTGCAAAGCCTACCCAGGCCCATTTCTGCTAGCTGGGTCTCATATCCTAAAGATTACATAACCTTCTCTAAAGAGCGTTCCCCCCAACCCCCAAGCTGAGGGTATAATACTCAAACAAATGAGCCTGTACGGCATAGTTTAGATTAGACTATATCATGTTGCCTGTGGCCCTCAGAGTACACAGCTGTGTGATGAGGCACCAAACACGTAATGCAGCTTCAGAGTTCTTGAGTTGTTAGCAGTCTGAGGACTGTTTAAAAGCCCAAATTCCAAAGTCTCTCAGCTGTTAGATATGAGCCACTGTGAGAGAAAGGCCAAGCTGTACATTTCTAGTTTACAACAGAACAGAAAAAAAAGTCCCCATTCCAAAAGTGAGGAATGATTGTGCGGGAATTCTGGTTCAAAGACAGCAGGAACACAGCAGGGTAACCATTAGACCTAAAGCTCGGTACAGGGCTGTTCCTACTAGCTTGGGCACTGCATAGGATTGGTTTGTGTCTCATACCCCCCTGTGGCCCTCAAGGCGTCTCCTAAAAGACCAGTTCTCTGTGAGTGACCTCGTGCTGACGTCCCCAATCCCTCCCTTCTGCCCAGGGCGAGCCCATCACCTTCTGTGAGGAGAGCTTTGTGAGGCACCGCTCAAGTGTGATGAAGCAGTTCCTGGAGACCGCAGTGGACCTGCAGCTGTTCAAGCAGGTAAGACTGCTTGAACACCATTGTCTGTCTGTCCGTCCGGAGAACAGCGCCATCCGGCACGTGTGCCCTGACAGGACGTCCCAGGGACAGAGTCCGCCTCCTGGGGAAAGTCATTTCTGAGTCAGGAGGTTGTCTGGGTATGGTCAACGGAAGAGTGCCTTGTAGCACTCCTGTGGTGGAACATTCTGGAAATACTGTATGCTGTTGAAGCCGAGGACTGCCCAGAGTGAGAGAACTGTGACCTCGAGGTTGTCCAACACCTGGGAACATGGGTACGAATAACTCCGGACGGACTGAGCCGGCTATATTTAGGAATACACACACACACACACACACACACACACATACGCACACGCACACACTCACATACACACACATACACGCACGCACATGCATACACACACATGCGAGCGTGCACACACGCATACACACATGCACACACACGCAAAAACAATTAATGAAAAAGAGGCTGTGAATTTGAAAGAGTGGCGAAGGGTGGGTTTAAAGAGAGAAGTGGTGTAATTATTTTGGGCGTGTGGAGTGTTTAGGAGAAGGAACAGGAAGTGAGGAATGATGAAATTATAATCTCAAAATGAAAGAAGAATATTTTAAGTGTCTCAGGAGAAGTTGATAAGTTCAGGTATGCATCCAGGAAGCCTATCCATCCACAGAAGTGAGCTGACGTGCTGAGCAGACCGAGACCATCACAGTATAATCCAGTTTGTAATATAATTCAAAATCTCAGTTATAGTGTATGTCCTGAGGGATTTTTTTTTGAGATATCATTTCTATTTCAGAATAGCAAATGTTGACATCAAAATTCAGATATTTTAGTTCAGAGACACTGGTTTTTCTGTGACAGTGTCTCACTCTATGGCCTTTGCTGGCCTGGGATGTGTACTTACAAAGCTCTGCCTGCCCATGCCTACAAGTACTGGGATTAAAGGAGCATACCCTTCCTTTTTTTTTTTTTTTTTTAATTTGTGTACACCTATGTGAGTTCATGTATATCGAATGTTTATAGGAGCTCTTGGAGGTCAGAGAAGTCAGATAGGAACTGAGCCCTGGACCTCTGCAAGAGCAGAAAGTACTTCTAAATGCTCTCTGTTTGACGAATTAAAAAGTAACCTCCGTCTAGAATGTGCTCTGTGATAGTAGAACTATCTTCTAAATAGTAAAAATTTACCACAGGGTAGAAAGGAGAAGACCAGTGCCAGCAATTTCCACACACTCACTGTGACATGCGTGTCTCTCTCTCTCTCTCTCTCTCTCTCTCACTCACACACACACACACACACACACGCACACACGCACTCAGGTTTAATCAGAATGATTTTATCTGGCCCAGGGATCCAGTGGTAGTTACCGCTCTCTAAGTCTCTCTCACTGATACTTCTTTGAGATTCTGTTAACTAGATTCATCCCAGTCAATATAGCATAATAAATTTTGTTATTGAAACCATTTAAAATCTGTTTGATTTTAAAAGCATTCTGTTTTAATAGTCATGTATAGTTGGTTTAGTCTTAATCTTGTCGTGAGTACATATTTTCATTTCTACAAAATAGAAACATTACCATGAACTTCACAGGACTGTGAAGAATTTCATAAGAACAGCTTGCAGATGCTCAGCAAATTTTGTTACCTGCCTCTTTTTACATTAATAAAATAACAAACATGTATTATTGCTATGAAAGAATGAAAGATAGCTCACTGTTAACATACTTGCTATTTTTCATACAGCATCATGTATGTTGGCTTCTGTAATTCCAGATCCTGCAAATCTGAAGCCCACTTATGTGGCACACCTCACACAGACGCAAAAACATAAACGAAAGTTAGTAAGATCTTTTAAAAATGCTTAATATGAAAAACAAGAAAAATGCTTAATATGAAACATGGAAGCGCCCCTTGGCAGCAGAACCTTCATAAGGACAACTTGACTAGTTTTATGTAGACAAATGAACCATCATTTAGGTATTCATACCATCTTATGTCTCATAAAGTAATGTATTATTTAGAAATTATATCATGTTTTGTCTCCTATGAATGCAATACTTGAAGATAGCCCTGGAAAAAAAATTTAAAAGATTCTTGTATCTTCAGAGATACTTCTGTCAAGATGGAGAGAAGAGTGTGAACTTTGTACAAGGAATTGCTCTCCATCGTAAGGAACTGGTATCTGTTAAGCATCTAAAACCACTCAGGGTCTCTCTTAGCAATAATTATGCTTACAAATGAACAGTTCCTGAATCCGCAGCAGTAGCATGTAGTTGTAATGTAACAATTAACATGAACTTATTTCTGGCAATGTGACAGAGAGGAAACTTCGAGTCCTTTTTACCATTTAATTAACTTCAATTGTAGTATTTTATATTTGATTTGCAAACCTTTATTGTCAGTGACTAAATGTTTAAGCAATTCAGTATGACGGTTTGACACTTATTCACACAGATGCAGGGTCTTAGCCCAACCACTGAAGGTTGAGCTGGGTGCAGGAAGGGTAGGGTAGGGTAGGTCCCCAGCCTCCAGGATCCTGGAGACAATCAGACTCGGCAGGGAGAGGAGTCAAGCAGGAACTTGGTTATTGCCACTTAGCATCTTTTTAATGCAATAACCACAGGGCAGGAAAACAGCCTGTGGTTTTAAATGTCAACCTATCATGGGCCAAGTGCCCTGTGCTTTACCTAGTGAACAGGAGCCATTCATGCAGTGACCTCATCTGGTTCCATCTTGTCAGCCAGTCACCCTTCTTTGTGAACATCTCAGGACTCCCTCTTGAGTTCCCCTCAGCGCGCCATCTTTGATTGGCTCTTGTGCCCTTCATACAACCACACTTGTAACCGCATGCTGAGTGTGAGGTGCTCGTTTCTCTAGCTAGATGTAGTCTGACGTAGCTTGTGATAGTGAACATACACAGAGTTTATTCAGCAAATTGGAAATAAATACTAAATTATCACGAACTGTGGTAACCACGTTAAAAGTTAAAAATGGCTCTCAGGAACTCCTGGTGATTAACATGTCCCCCTGTGTTCAGCATCCTGCACTCCCAGACTGCAGCTAAGCAGGTTCTTTAACAAAGCGTCAATTGCTACCTGCCTTATTTTATCAGTAGCATTGACCAGTGAGTATTTAAATTCAGCATTTATTTTACTAAGCATTTTACGGAGGCATTTGTTTTTGTCATGTCTCCAGACTAGGTTCTTAGGGTTTTGTTTTCACTGACATTTGACCTGTATCTCCCGGCCCCTCTGGTTCCACATCTGTGAGGTGAGCTAAACTTGAATGCTAAGCCTCAGATGCCTTTCGCCTCTTACATTTCATGATACTATGAAATAAACACATAGCTTAGGCAGACGACAGTGGACTCCATTTGGATTAATTCCTGTTTAGATAATAGATTTGGATGGAATCCCAGAAATAACTCCTCAAATCCATGACTTTGACATAACCATCTTTTCGTATCTTACAGCTTTATGAATAGTAAAGCCATATTTTAAGTCTGTCTTTATTTAAAGCTGTACTAATAAGGAAATTGTGTGTGTGTGTGTGTGTGTGTGTGTGTGTGTGTGTATGTGTGTGTATTATTATTATTAAATCCACTGGCAAAAAGTTTCTTTGCTTATTTACTTTCTAAGGTTAGGATCATGGCAGAGTTTAGCATGTTAAATCTTAAAATCTAAGTTTATTCTGTGACTTTTAGGCCTCTTCATGATAATCGACCCTCTTGACTGGCAGTGTAGATTACTGTTAGGGTGTTTCATTACTAGTAAATGATCTATATAATTTATATAAAACCCCCCCCAAATAAGCTAAAGCAATTGCTAACTCACTTGAGGAAAACAAATGGTAGGGAAGAGTTCAGCTGAAAATTTCTCTTTTATTACTCATCTAAAATTTTTACCTTTCATAAGCCAATATAAACATGTATTTACTCAACTTTTTTATATAACAAGTACCTTCCAGTGCCAAATAGAGTATGCATTTTATTAATTCAGTTTATTCTTAGACACTCACACACACACACACACACACACACACACACAGGCCACTGTCACTACAACTCTCTTTCATCTGCCTGACACCTAGGCTCACCCTTTCTCTGTACAAACCTCTCTCGAGTTCACATTTGTCAGTTTGTGGCTCGCTGAATTTAAGCAGGGTCATTTGTGTGATGATGGATGTGGAGCTGTCTGTTGGAGCCTGGTAGGATGAGCCCCATGTAGATAGCTCTCCCCAAACCCATCAATAGTGTGTAAAGGGTGGGGCCACAGGCGTCCCTTACTCTCCTAGGGCTGATTGTTTACAGGACCAGTATTGTGTGGGCCCAGTGCAGGAACCATAGTGTCTCTCAGATTGTGGGAAAGTGTCTGTATGTTATAATGTCTACTATACATTTTTCTAAAACACCTCTGTAAAGTATAACATTGGGTGTGTGTGTGTGTGTGTGTGTGTGTGTGTGTGTGTGTGTGTGTGTGTGTGTATTCTCTCTTATACTAAAGCCTGACCACAGTTTCCCCTCCCTCCTCTCTTCCCAGCCTCTCCCTCACAACTCCATCCACTCTTTCTCTGTCTCTGTTTGGAAAAGGGCGGGCCTCCCATGAATTTCAACTAAACAAACGTGGCATATTAAGTTCAGTAATACTAGGTACTTCCCTTTGTATTTAGGCTGGATGAAGCAACCTAGTATGAGGGAACGGATCCCAAAAGCAGGCAAAAGAGAGACAGCCCCTGCTCTCACTGCTAGGAGTCCCACAAGAAGACCAAGCTGCACATCTGTGACATACATGCAGAGGGCCTAGGCCAGACCCATGCAAGCTCCCTGTTGTTGGTTCAGTCTCTGTGAGTCACATTAGTTGACTCTGTGGTTTTCTTGTGGTGTCCTGGACACCTCTAGCTCCTACAATCCTTCCTCCTCTTCTTTTGCAGGACCCCCCTAGCTCTGGCTGTGGGTCTCTGCATCTGTCTCCATCAGTTGGTGGGTAAAGCCTCTCTGATGACA